TTGTGTTTTCATTTCCAGGTCAACTACTCAAGCAGACATCACTAACATGGACAAAGTCAGATACTAGAAGGTCTGTTTGATACGGAATAGACCATCAGGAGCACACATATGCATCTAAACTAGCAATATATTTGATTGATTCGTGAACTTCAAGCATACAATTTCCCCAAAAAGCGAGTGCGGGGAAAAAATTGAAACCGACAAAGCTCCTTAAAAAGATGCATAAATGGCAGCTTTAGATGGAAATCCCGGCAGAACATAATTTTAGAAGCAGCAATTTCCCATCTGCTAGACAACTGATTCCTTTCCCAACCAAATGAATCCTGAGACCCTACATTATATGTCGAAAAGGTAGTCCTCTTTACGCCGCAATGCCATGACTAGCGACTCAAAGTTTGCAGTCCTTGCACACTGTATTACAGGATGGTGCCTTACAATTCCCCAGATTTGTAGGTACCACTGATAACTAGTATAAAATCATGAAAGGCAAAGAAAGGTGCAATCACCCGATCGCCATTACTCGAACAACTGTGAAAAGCAGTGAAAGGCAAAGAAAATGCAAAGAAGATCACGAAAAAAAAAAACAAAAGGTTTCTTTACCAACAAATTTGAATAAATAGAATTTCCTCCACGAAAGATAGACACTTCATTTTACCAAAGTTAGGGCCAAGAACTAGAAAAACACACCATTCTTCTCCAGGAGTCCAGACAAAATCAGACCTTTTTTCACTCCGATACCTTAAGAAGAACCCTGTCGCTATTGTTGATGTATCCATGCCACTTCTCATCCGACGGATAACCATCTGCAAAATCCTCCGTTGGTGACCTGCAAGAGCAAACTAGAAAACATCACCAACCAAATCAAGAAAACCAAAGTGCATGCAACAGCAGCACTCAAGAAGGCTCCTGAAGGGACCTCATCCTGAGGCAGAAAGTGGAGGGTATGGGGACAGCATTGGGGAACACGTCCGTCAAGTGGGGGAGATTGAACCGGCTCTCGAAGTCCCTCTGGAACTTGGGCTTCCAATCCGGGTCGCTGAAGTCGGTCGCCTGGTCTCCTCGACTCCGGTTCTTGATCTCGTTCTTGACGGCGCCCGGACCAACGACCCCGCGTCCAATCCTGCGGCAGCTCAGCAAAGCTCCGCCGGGTCCCTCGTTCTTGGCACGGCGGTACGAGAGGAGGCCGCTGCCGTGGCCGTGGCGGTGGCGGGGGCGAGGGGCGGCGGCGGCGGCAGCGAGTTTGACTTGGTGGGGGTAGGTGATCGCGTGGTGGGAGCGGGAGAGGGCGTCCATCAACCCACCTGGAGCGGACATTCCAATGACCAGGCGTTGTTGGAACCCAAAGAAAGAAAGAAGAGCGACGAGCAGAGCAGAGCAGAGAGAGAGAGAGAGAGAGAGGAGGTGAAGGCAAGGCAAGGCAAGGCTGAGACAGAGACAGAGACAACAGAGGGACTCAGCGAGCCGTACTTGCCGGACTTTTGAACAATGAACAAAGGCAAGCGCAAGCGTGCCTTTTTTGGTCGCTTTCGCTTTCTTTAGCGAGCCTTTCAATGACGTACCGTAGCATGTGTGCGCTCTTCTTGCAGCCTTCGAAAATAAAAACGAGGAAACCCGGAAAACGACAACAAATTTCGGTTTCCCTTGAAATTACGATTTTTTCCGTATTTCTTTTTTTCATAAAATATAATTAATATTGCGAAAAACCTCGAACCGGTTGTATGACAAATGTATCCAAAACTAGTTTTTTTGACCGCCAAAAACCCCGATCAAGAAAAATCTCAAATTACCGTGACAAATTTACCCTCCGTTAGTTTCCGTTAAATTAAATTAATATATTGAAAAACCACGAATTGGTGTACCCGTGACAAGCGAAAGGTTAAACCCCAAACTGGCACGGGTAAAATTTAACGGAAACTAACGGATGGTAAATTTCTCATGAGTGTACCCGTGTTTGAGGTAAATTTATCGTAGGTGTACCGGTTTGAGGTTTTTCGTGATATTAATCATTTTTTTTTATAAAATATGATAACACATATTGTTTTAAAAATCTTGCTATCAAAATAAAATTTACTCTTCTTCATTCGACTGTCCATATCATTTTAAAGTTGATGATTTGCTACTTTCACATCATTTTTCTTTATAATTGATCCTTATTCGTCTCATCATTCCATTAATTTAGTAAAGATGGCATCTGGTGTGGCATTCCGAACTTTAGTTGCTCGATCCGCATGCACCGATATGATTGCTTATGTATGTGGACGGACACATCAGTAAGTATTAAAAACGAGAAAAGAAAGAGATTGAGAGAGAGAGAGGGCCTGGACCCAGCACGACCATCGGTAAGTCGGCCCGGAACTGATGGTTCCCGTGGAGACCGGTCCTATTCTCGATTCCAATTTACTAGAATCGGTAGGTGTAGAACTCACTCGAACCGGATCGGTAATATATATATTTTTTTCCAACCAAAAAAAAAGGAAAAATTTTAAGAAAAATAAAAACCTTAAAATCCCTAATCTGAAGATCAACGCCCATTAATTAAGTGCTCGTGCTCGTGCTCGTCTCACTGTTATCTTTTCTGAGTCGTCTCTTTATCTCTTACCTCATGGTCTCGACTCTCAAGCTTAATGCCGATTGACTCACATCCTCGACACTTAACTTTCATCGACTCACGGTCGCGCCTCTGGCCATTCGTTGCCTCCCCCTCTCTTTCTCTTGGTCACCTCCATTTGCATGAAGCTTGGCGGTTTCAGGTTCTAAATTTTCGGAAACGGTCCTTAGTGGGCGTTTCCCAATTTCATGATAGGAGCCGCCCACTCGGACCATACTCACCCCTAGCTGAGGCCGGCCCTGAGTGGCGGTCACAAGACCCTCGCCTGGTGGCGGCGAGCCGCGACCGCGCGACCGCCGATCGCCTCGTCGAACTCCGAAAAAGGCGCTCTCGGGGCGAGGCGTTGACCGTTTGCATTCCCCCCCCTCCCGCCCGATTTAGGGAGATTCCTCTGGAATTGTCTGATGCCAAATTTCCATTGCGCGAGATCAACGGCGAAGATTCGCTCGTGCCTTCCAAAAAGTCAAAGTTGAGACTTTAAAAGAACGGACGGATCCGCGTGTGCAGCTGCCCATCAGTAAAAGTCGTTGCAGCTTTCGCTCCAACCATCCACGTCGAAAGCCCCACGGCTCTTCCATTCTCGATCACCTGGGCTTTTGCTCGATGACGCAATATTTAATTCTAACGTATACTTTATTTGCACGATGACGTAATATTTTGGGAAAATAACATAAATGGTCCTGAACTTTGGTCTAATGTGTAATATAATTCATGAACTTTCAATTTATTCAATGCGGTCCATGAACTTTATCCCAAAATGCAATGCGGTCCCTCGATTTTTAATTTGTTCAATGCTGTCCCTGAATTTTTGGTACATGTTAAATTTAGTCCCCGCGCTTTTATGAAAATGTTCAATGTTATCCCTGAACTTGATTAAATAGAATGACTATATAGAATATTTTCATATAGTTCAGGGACTAAATTGAACATGTACAAAAAGTTCAATGACCATATTGAACAAATTGAAAGTTCACGGATCCCATTGCACATTTGGATAAATTTTAGGAATCTCGTCGAACAAATCAAAAGTTCAGGGACCACATTACACATTGGGCCGAAGTTTATGGACCATTTATGTCATTATCCCTAATATTTCCGATCGGGATGTATTTTCAGTCCATGTCTTCTTGGTGGGATGAAATTCTCTTTCATCAGTCTTGTGAGAGCTTCCCAAGTATGTATATTCTGATGGCCATAAGATCTTCCGACTGTTTAAGGAGACCTTTCGGTGCTGAAAACATTCCAAATTTCCGTTTCGAAAATGCTATTTTGTCGAGCGTAAAAGTTTTCTTCCGAAATCAAAATTGTGAAAAAAACAAGGCATGCGCTCATCAAACTTTATAGCACGCTTTTCTAACTCTCCCTCTTCGATTTGAAATCAAATCAATGAAAGCACGAAAGAGGTTACTGCATTAACTCGGCCAAACTCGCTTGCATTATGTATAAATATATTTGCACCCGTGACCCGAACTTTATAGCTATACCAAGTAAACAATTGTCATGATATTAGATTGCTTGATATAATTTAATAATTTCAAAATGAAATCACGAATTTTCTACAATAATTTCCAATCAAAAGAATCACTTTTCATAAAGTTAGCATCGAGTGGTCCGTGAAATTTTTAGTCCCTAATACTTTCAATTCATGACAGGTTAAATGCATCTAGGCAGTTTCCAGCACTAATTCTGTGAAGTTTGCATAGGTGGATGTCGGAATTTGACGGCGGCATCAGTTAACCAAACCTGGCATTTCCTCTGTCCCAATTGAACCCGACGAGCCAAGCCGGAGTTCGAATTTCGATATTGGATCGAAAGAAAGGGAGTGATGAGGACTGTCGGCTAGGTACAATCACGCATTAAGTCGAATTCCGAGTCGAATTAGTATTGAAGATTGATACCTACCGGTCGTTATCCGTAATTCATCGGATTAGAGTCGTAAGGCTGCCGATTATGACAAGACTCACGTAGGCAACGAGCTCAGGTGCTTCTCTTACACGGGTTGCCATTTCTGGCACAAAGTGATCAGTACACCTTTCACATGAAAATGCTGAATACTAGAGTCTGCTCTCTGTTGATTACTGTCTAAGCATTATGTCCGACGACTGGACATGGTCTATGATAAGCCGACTAAATCTCATGATTTGATCCGACAATCCTTACTATCTAACCCCACTTTGCGTCCGAAGATTCTGTAATCTTTTGCCGTATCAGGATATCTCTGGAATCGGTATTTCTCCTACTTGTTCATGTTAATCTTGACAATTCCCGTTACAGCAACCTGTTTATCCCTTCATCCTATCATAAAGAGCCTGAAATTTGACAAGATGGTTAAATCTCTAGGCTCTTCGTGATAAAGTCGAATGGTATCCTCAGTTGGAGAGTGACCGAACAGTTTACTGGAAGAACACTGAATAAACAATCTTAAATAGTGGTAATGAACTCGGTATTAACCATAAAAAAAAAATAACAAAAATCACTGTCATTCCCAGTATATGTTACCGTAGACAAGGGACTATGTTGTTTCTCCAACGTTTTTCAGCAACAGATCAGATCATGCATCCCATCATTGTTATAGATTTAGACAGCAGATCAGCCATTGTAGGGTAACCTGGAGAAAAGATTAAGAAAAGTCGATTTAAGGTTGATTCAGAAAACAGACCATATTTTTGCCTGGAGACGACCAATGAACAAATGAGCTTACCCTAACTTAAGGGAAATGTCAGAGCAATCGTCCTCCTGCGGAGGACCACTGCTGGAGTTGCAGACATACGTGCCAGACTCTGACGAGAGGCCTTCTTCGTTAATTATCTCTGAATCAGTGGCGACATTTTTCCGGCCCGAAATTACGGTAACCTGACCCAGACATTCATAATGCCATTGGCAAAAAATTGCATGGACAATTTGAGTTCACCAACTACAGGGACAGTTAACTCTAGGACCATTGCATACCTGTTGCTTTAGTCTCTTGTTTTCTTCCATTAGTTTCGCTCCCTGAAACAATGTGAGGTACAGAAAGAATTATATAAATATGCATTCTACCGAGTGTTCTCGCAGCAAGGAATATTCCATTTGGTGTATACCACAAACAAATCGCCACAGCAAACTCTGACCTTTAACAGTTAAAACAACAGAAGCAAATGACTCCCATCTGACCATTTATTCAAGTATTTGTTTGGCTTTGCAATGACAGTTGATCCTGATAGAGTATTTATCGATTCTTGCCTTTTGTCTGCGAAAGAACTGTATACTGCACACTTCATGATGTCCTAACAATTCATACACCCAATTAAGTGTTCTCATTTTGATAACCTGCTGAAAGATTACAATGAACAATGATGATTGATGTCTGCCACCACTCCACGTACTTTACAGAGAAGACTCTCCTCTTGTCCTAACTATGCTAATGCAAACACTGAACCACCAACCGCTTAGCAGCAGAATGTAAATAAATGCATCTCCAACCCACCCGTTTTTATAAAGAGCAAAAGTGCGTGATTGCATGAACACAATTCAGGAACCTCACCTTCTGTTGAAGGTCAGTGATCTCTTTCATGATCTTTTCGCCCTGACAAAAACCAAGAACACACAGTTAGAACGCAACATATTTCATGAAGCATATTACATCATAGAGAACATTAATGTATCTGCTAGAAGGTAACATATTTCACGAAGCATATAGGGTTGTGAGCCCAATGATATGTCTGCAACTAAGTATCTCATGACCTTCTTTTCTATTACACGATTAAACCCAGCTTCAAGCGATTTCTCTAGCTGCTGCAGTTCATCGATATTTAGTCCTTGGAGCTCTTCCCCTCTCATCTGCCTGCCAAACAGAGGGTTTCACATTGCGCATCAACTACAGTTAGAAGTGCAAAACCTATAGATTTGTACCTTAATTGGTGGCTTTTCTCTGAAACTTCCTTGCTTAACCTAGAGTAGTTGCTGTTTTCTACTAACTGCAAAGGAGAAAGAACAGAATCAATATGAAAATCCAGAAGGAACACTAGAAGAAAATTATGCTAATTCCTTTCCCACTTTTTTACCAAGTAGAAAGTAGATTGATCTTACTTAGACAGATGACTGATTAAACAATTCATAATACAAAGGTTCCGAAACAAATAATAAGGCCTTGAAAATTTGAAAGCTGGTGCATGCTCATTGAACTTAGTGGACTTGTAAGCTGCACGATATGAGTATTCCCTCAAAAATTGAATCTTTAACACGGACAAGAATTCGTATCCAATGAAACTAATTATATATTCGACCTCTGGAAGAGGATGAATCAATTCTTTTCTTTTTTTGCTGAATTGCAGAATCTTGAGCAAATGAGCAATTTTTCTCATAATTCTTCAGTTGATTATAAGGAATTGAATGGACCAATGAATAATTTCAACAGAGAGAGAGAGAGAGAGAGAGAGAGAGAGAGAGAGAGAGAGAGAGAGAGAGAGAGAGAGAGAGAGAGAGAACCTGCAACTCAAGTGATGGTTGATCCAATTTCTCAAGATTCTTGGAGTGCAAATGATGTCGTTCGAGAATTTCCTTCATGCTTCATAATGCAAAAAGTTTAATGCGCGGAAGCAATACTGGATGAAAGATAAAAATAGCTAGTTTTCAAGTTACAGATTCTATCAGCAGTTGAGATACACAAAAGTTCAATGCAATATTCATGTTGGAACTCTATTGCACAGAACTATGTGGTTGGCCATCAATCTTCACAAGCATAGCCGAGTTGTACTCTGGCTCATTCTTCCATAACGGTTAGCTAATGTTACTGTTGGACAAAGATGCAGAAGCAAATACTAGTTATATCACTTCAATTTTCCACTATGAATGAAACTTATCCACAGAGTACTCTGTCTTTGATCGTCGAGGACATTCTAAAGGCGTTCATTCATCCAAACATGCCGAGGAGGAGTTCAGCAGTCTTGACATGTCTCATTTAGCACATTGTGTGTGATTATTGTTAGGAAGACGTTTGGGACATTCGAGATTGCAAATGCTAATTTTCACTTGCACTTTTTTGATGACATTGACACGGAAGTAGCATGAAAATGTAAAGAGTGTATACAACATCATTAATCCAAACTCGTTACCCAAGACTGCTTACCGACTTCTTCATATGAATATTCATCCCTCCAAGTTCTTTCCTCTTTTAAGAAGTTTGGTAAAAGGGAATAGGGCCAGAATGGAATCGCTGTTCTGATCCCATTACTTTTCCTTATTTAACTGCGCTTTACTAGATACCAAAAGGACATTCCAGATGCAACTCCCATTAATCTAGCACAGGAATTGGTCGATTCCGCTCCAATTAACAAAAGCAGTAATTATTGATTCCAAGTATATCTTCATTTTTCTACCTCTCCCTATTTCTTTCCAAGGTAAATTTTGACATGTAATATTATTCTTTTTAAATTCCCTGGTACTTCTTGGTCACACGTTTCTCTTCCATTCTTTTCCTCCCTCAGTTCCATTTTCATCGTATACTTCATTTCATTGTACCAAGCGTATGGTTCAATTGTTTCCCAACAAAGCAAAGCTGTAATCCCTTGAAGGGCCCTTTTCCTTGATCAAAGCTCTTAAGGGGCGTTGCTGGAGGCATAAAAAGTTTCTCCTCTTGGTGTCTTCAATATAGTCATCACAAACAATCTAACAGATGCTATATGTTTCTATTGTTGCAGCATGGAAGAGTAGATTTCAATATTTTCCATTCAAGCTGACTTCTCTGCCTTTTCCCAATACAAAACTTGCAATGTGGATATGTCCTGCGTTTCATAATTGCAACTTGCAAGCTCAGGAAACAAAGGAATTTGGACAAGAACAATTGTGACTGATGTTTAGATTTCTCCATATCCTGGAAACCCTATCCAATGATACGACTTAATTTGACTTCCCACAATATACGAAGGCAAAAAATGTTCAACATTACTCATAACTAGAACGAAATAGAAGTTTCACTAACTAGTTTTCGGGACTACAAATAGCTGTAGGATCATTTATCTATGTATCATTGAAGACAGATGCTCCAAAAGACTAATTCCAAACGAAGCAACTTCACGGGGAAAAAATTTCAACAAAAAGCACTCCGAAGGAGAACTAAAGTTCCACACCCATGACAAAGATCGGTAAGTACATAACATAAATCGATCTCCTCATCTCATGTTGTCCCTAAGCCTAAGTGGCTCATCCAAATCTCAAACTGATTTGCATTGCATTTATGACAGTGAAAAACCTCTCATGTTTCACAATGACCACATCATATCTATGAACCTTCCTTAAGAGTCAATAAGCAAATGCAAATGCGAAATTAAATGAGATCGGAAATGTCGAGCACATTTGCAAGTTCAAATACATAACCAGTAATGAATTACCATGTCAAGTTCAATATATTCGTGAAAGAAAAGTGTCACTCCAGACTAATTATACGAGATCGACCAATTTGCCCATCACAAGTCCAAGAACCGTGAGACCTAGATGAGATTTCACAAAAGAAATAGCAGACGTTTCCTGCTGTACAACTCATTCTATTCATCGTATCGTTGTGACACTTCCCGCAATAGTCTTCTAATTCCCATCATGGTAAAAAAACGACCATGATCTCAGGTAAGTGAATGGCATGAAATGCTAACCGGACGCATAGAGATCTGATGATTAGAGCACCGGTAATACCAAATATTGGATCCAATAGTTTTCCTGTACTTCAGTAAAGACTCGATGGTTTTAGATTCTTGTAAGCATCGCGTTTTAATCTTCACAAGCCGGCAATTCGTCTTAATCAGAATTTGCAACCAAACTTTGTTTATCAAGTGCTATCTTAGCTTTCCTATCATATTTCCATCAAAGTCAAATTATATTGAGATAGATACTTAAACAGGTGGACATTCAATAGTTCCCATTGAATTGATGCCCCCAGAACTTCCAACCGCAACTCTAAGCATGCATTACCTTCTAGATTTCTCAGAAAAGAGGCATCTGGTGGAGATAACATTTCCTACTATAGCGCATAGCTTTGATAAGCCAGAAATCAAGTAGAAGATCAAACTCTAAAAACCCATCTCCCAAATAATTACTAGTGACAAAGTTCATCCTATACAAACTTATTTTTATTTGTTTGGCTCATCTGCTAATTTGCAGGCTCCTGCATAGAAGGATTAATCAGTCGAGAGTGTTTGCATAAGATCTCCAGGTAATTTAGCATTCCTCATCCCAACCTCCCCCCTCCCCTCCCCTCCACAACAAAAAAGAAAAAGAAAATCAGATTGTGACATTTTATATTGCTCGTTCAATATTCTAAGTGGGATAAGGGTTCATTCAGAATCAAACGCAATGGCATAAAGGTCCAAATAGTCATTGCTGGTACTTTCTTTTCATGAAGAGAAAAAGCCAAATCTTAATTTCTGCAAGAATCTCAAGGATGCCCACATATAACTATACCTAGAAGCTTGATCACTAACTTTACCTCAAGGATACAACTCTTAATTTCTTCTTCAATCTAATGATATGTCCAACTGCGTAACTACATTTTGCTATAGTACCTGGTTGTGTGATATCAAACATTAAACTGTCGCTTATGTTAAGTAATAAGCTCACTTTAAAGGTTCTATAAGCCCCTTAAGTATCTTCCAATGAGAAAACCCTACCCATCACCATATTCTTCATGTTCAAAAGAATTTCACATATTTTCCAGAAAGACCCAACGTGCCTCAATAGATAAGGATATAGGAGTCTCAGAAGTAGCCTTCCTCATGCACTTAGGACTTTACTCTTCATCAAACCACATCTTATTCATCCAAATCTTCTCCCGCATCGTCCATTGTCTTGCCAAGTCCAACACTTCAGCAGTAATGTCATGAAGGAATAAATCCCATGACACTACTCTTCCATACACGCCCCTTCTCAACCAATCTCTCTTGTGATACTTTCATATTCTCCAGACACACAAGACAACTAGCTAAATGACAAACCAAGAGAGACACGTACATACTCTCCAAATCCAAATAATTATTTCCTTCCTCAAACAAGTCCCTTTCTGAGCAACAATCTTTCATAGTTCCATGATAACCCCAGAAGGCCCGTGAAAGGGAAGGAGACCCCGTGATGAATTCAAAACATAAACTTGCACATGAAATCCAATAAAAGAAACCACATTCACAATCAGCTTGAAAAAAGGTGCATGTGATAAACACCCATCACGGTATTATTTGAGTCTGATGGAATCCAGACTTCAACCTATTAAATCCCACCACTACTGGCCTATTTTTGTGTACCTACTGCATCACATCATTCTAGACATTATCACCTCATTTTCGTGACAATTTAGCATTCCGACGAAAAACAAACACCCAAGTTGCATATACGGCTAGTAAATACATGTATTTAATGCATATCACATTTTCTCCCACTCTCTAATCGGATATGCAGTCTAGAAGAAAGAAAACCCAACAGTGAGACGGATGACTGATGCGATAAGAACTTGAACACACTTGGAAGACTATAAGCTCTCACATATTAACATTTAAAGTAAGATGAAATATTATAGAGGAAAAAGGAGGAGGGGAAAAAAATTACCTCGAACTGCAGTATTCGAAGAGTTTTCCAGAAGACGAGAAGATGATGAGAGCGACATCGGCATCGCAAAGCACGGACAGCTCCTCGGCCTTCTTGAAGAGCCCTCTTCGTCGCTTCGAGAAAGTGACTTGCCTCGCCGTCGCATTGGTGATCTTCTTGATCTGAATCTTCTCTCTCGCCATTTCTGTCTCTCTTTCTTTCTCCTCCTCCTTCCTCACCTTCCTAAAGAAACCCAAAAAAGAAAAATATAAAAAAAAGTAGAGCAAGTGTATTCTTTTCTTTTTACTCTGTCAGTCTCCTTATGCAGAGAGAGAGAGAGAGAAAGAGAGCAATCGCCAGCGAACAATTTGCCAAAACAACACCACACAAGGCCAAAAAGTAGGCTTTGCTAAAAATGGGTCATGCTTGTAGGAAGAGAGAGAGAGAGGGAGAGAAGTATTGGGGGGAGGGGGGGCAAGAAAATGATCTTCTTTTTGCCAAATTTAGCCAAGAATAGAATCTTGGACGCAAACCCTAGTTAGAGGGAGCACAGACAGACAGACTCATCACGGAGGATACAGACAAAGAGCGAGCAATGCGCCCCCACGAGCACAAACCCACTTGGCGTTGCTGCAGCTTATTAAACGTGCAAGAAAAGAGAGGAGGGATTGAGATTGGCTGGGGGCCGAGTTACTGCAGGGGCACACTTACCAGTTTTGGGCATGTGGGTTTTGGTTGGTTTTGGTGCTGGTTTTGGTGGGTTGGTCCCTTTGACAGCAGACTCGCGAAGAAAAAGCCACCAATCCAATGAGAGAGAGAGAGAGTTTATTCGAGAAAAAAGCTACCATTGTTTAGGTACGATGATACCCAATGTGTTTTGGGGCTCTAGTTCCAATATACAGAGGGTGATTACATCGGTTAAAATCGAGCCGATCTATCCTAATTTGTTGCCCATTGAATGTGCTCTCGAAAGAAAAGAAAAATGGTTATCTCAACATGCCTTCGGATTTTGTGAAGGCGCATCGACGTCAAATCTAGTTTTTTCAAGTAATAAATAGGTACAAAGGTCTAAAGTACCGGGGAGATTAATACATGAACTAGTGTATGGTCCTATAGATGTCTATAAATTACTTTTTATGTGAAAATCCTGATTACATGGCAAATATATTGATTAAAGAAATCTTTAGCTCAATAATAAATTGATGAACAATAGTTTAATGGATGATAGGGCTTGTGACATGCAGAGGTCCCGGGCCACGTGGCAAGGGTAATTATTAGTCTACAAAGTCAAAGTAAGATAAAGCTGACTCGTGAACTTTAATTTCAATCACATAATGAATATTTATATACTTATCATGGAAATTACCACCTTATAAATTTATAGATATTATGTAGTTGTCCTTTTATTTTGAAACATGCATACATGGGTTCCTAAAATTTAAAGCCCCAATATTCCCTGTGTAAAATCTATCCGACCATACTATTTTCACAGGTCGCAAAATCTTGCGGATCAATCTATCATTCGTGAGGCTTTTGCATTGATTTATGATAAAATGACTATTAGTCAAGATTAGAATTGGCAATTGGTGTGGTGTCGTGTTAATCATACTGTGCATTACACAACATGTGTTAATCATATATTTGTCGAGTCATTCAAAGAGGATGATTACTAATGCCGTAGGTAAAGACGTATACTATAATAATGAGCACAAATGAAGATGGTACTTTTTGGTAGTGTTTTTTGGTATGTCTAAAATATCGGTGAAATACACTAGTTGAGGGGAAAACTATCAAAAAGTTCACAAATCTATTATACATATGTCAATTCAATTATTTACTTTTTAATTTGACCAATTTAGTTCTAAACATTTTGATGATTTGCCAATAAAGCCATTTTAGCTAATTTAGCCAGCAATCATTGCCGTGGATGGCGATCGGTCACAGGCGAGAGCCAACGAGGGTCAACCCTCATCGACCTTTGGCAAAGAAGGAAAAAAAAAGAAAAAGAGAAAGAAAATAAAATGAAAAGGAAAAAATAAGAAAAAATAAAACAATTCAAAAAAAGTAAAAAAAAATGCAAAAAATTGTCCGCAGCGTCGGTCATCCATGTCTGCGCAGGCTATGGCATGTACGATAGTCGATGTCCATGTCAGTGATTGCTGATCAAAATTGGCCAAAAGGATACATTGGCAAATTATCAAAAAGTTTATGATTAAATCGGTCAAATTGAAACATTTAAAACTAAATTCGTATACATACAATATATTTAGGACTTTTTTGGTAATTATTCCCTAATTGAGTTGTGAACCTGAGTTCAAATCCTGGTCCAACCAGTCTTGTCCAATTTAAAAAATATAGATTGGACGCCACACAGTCCAATCATCACGAGCGTCGTCTACATTAGCAAGGATAAATTCGTTACTATACGATGGCATGATGATGATCAACTTAGGCTACACAAGCCAACTCAGGCTACACGAACCAACTCATGTCGTGTGTAATTTATATGAATTTTATGTCCCTTCAACCTTGTAGAGACCTGTTTTCTAGATGGTGGAACATCCATCTTTTTCCGGAGTCTTTCACGCATACTCATACTTGCGAATCAGTCGTGGCAAAGATCTTCCTCACATGACATCATTCACATGCATTTCATAACAACATAAATAATTTGCCATCTCTCATGCAATTAATTACATGCACTTCAACATATATACTCTCTTTCTCTTCTCATTATACAATCATCGATGTAGTAAAATGCTCTAGTTAGGCAACCGGGCCAGAACTCTCTTATTGGGTAGGATCGAAAAATAGGTATAATCGATAGGCGGGCATAATCAACAAGCGGGAATAATCAACATGTAGGTATAATTGACAAGTGTGCATAATTATGTAAATATCACTTTCAAGTCCAGTTTTACCATTTTCATATTTTTCACATCCAACATGCTACTACACCTCGCAAAAATCAATCAAACACATATTAGATATGAAAGAACTAGTCGATATAAGTCAGATAATCACAATATCTCAACACACTATTATTGAGACTTGCTCACACTTATTGTCAAATTGAAACTAAATTAACAAACATCAACCAACCAAGTCAAAAGTACTAAATAGTACAATCTAACTTAGCTCTTAGAGTTTTCACTTACCTTGAATAAAAATTTAGACAACTTAAAGCCTCAACCACCTTCTAGGTTAAAAAAAAAAAGACTAACAATTCTCAATCTTTGAACAGAACTAGTCTAATAAAAGGGAAGAAAGCCCACAAGTTCACCGTATAAACTCTTGAAAGATGGAATTTCGAAACTTTGACAACACGAGAATTGAATCTTTCTTTTTACTCAAAAGATAGGAAAATGAAAATAGAATTGGAAAGTGACAGAATATCTCTCTCTTTGCAAGAATAAGTTGGCATTCTTTTTAAAGCTTGAAGACATAAAAAAAATCTATATATACGGCCAAGGGGGATGAATATAGAAGACTACTCAGTGACAAGATCATATAACCAAGGGTAAAGTAATGATGACTTTGGGTTAATAACACTGTGTGCAAAAGAGATATAAGTGTTCCAATCCAAAAGTTATAAGAGGCTTAATGTGAGCAGCTAAAAAATTGGAAAGAGAGAGGGCTTCAGTGGCCAAGTAGAATACATGAATGAAAACTCAAGCTTATCAAGAGCATTAAAGGGCTAAAGTTAAAAGAGGTGATGTAATGCATGAAATCATTTGTTAAGCAAAGTTCAATGTTACAAACTAAGAGCGTGTGGATTAAAATATTTGGTGAAAAGTGAAAAGAGGTGTGTACAAATTAAAGAGTGACAAATGGCACAATCATATAGTTTCAAAGTAGATATTTTGATAAGTTACTAAAATATCTAGTATATAAATACGTAAACAAGGAAAATAATGTTCGCTCTAAACACTAATAAATAAGAAAAATATTTTGGACCCATTAAAATTATTAGTGAAAGATAACAGATGTTTGGAAAATCTCAATTCAGTAAATTTTAAAACTGGAAAACCATCTAATACGTATATCTGAGCGTATCTCTTTCCGTCAAAATGTACTAGGGATGTAAATTAATCACCGTCACTCTACACAATCAATGTACATGCTGACATCTGTCCATTTAATCCTAATGCATCGTATTCCGAGTGACTACAGATGCAGAAAATCACTCTTCAAACCCTTTCGTATGTCACAAGCTTATAGTCTATTTATTAACGTTTCTGTTCTCAGAAATAATTTTTGTTCAGAAATTATTTTTTCTATTTCTATTCCCCAGACAAATTTCTATGCAAAAAAACACGTTTAGTAATTACATAAAATTTCTATTCTCAGAGTAGAAAAAAAACAGAAATACGTTTGGTAGGACACTAAAAATTTCTACTCCCAATTTTTTTCATTTAATTATAAAATTGTCGGTGGAGATTTAACAATTCATGTTTATATAAAATTGGACTAAAAATATAATAAGAATATATTATGATATAGAATTGTATAACCTTAATACAATCATAAAGAAAATTTCTCGACAAAGCAAACATTGAGTGGTAGTCGAGGAAATTGCAGTTTAGGGCGTATGATTTTAGAATTTGGGATTAGGGGTTAGGGTTTAAGGATTTCGGTTTTGAGGTTTACGGTTTTGGGTTTTGGATTTTAAGGTTTTGGGTTTGGGTTTAGGTTTTAGATTTTCTGGTTTGGGGTTTTGGGTTTAGTGTTTCGGGTTTGGGGTTTAAGGGTTTGGGTTTAGGGTATTAGGGTTTGGGATTTAGGGTTTACAGTTTAGGGTTTGGGGTTTATGGTTTAAAATTCGAGGTTTTGGGGTTTAGCGTTTTAGGATTTAGGATTTGGAATTACGATTTTAGAGTTTAGGTTTTAGGGCTTCAGGTTTAGAGTTTTGGGATTTAGGGTTTAGTATTTCGGGTTTTAGGTTTGGGATTTAGGGTTTATGATTTGGGGTTTAGAAGGTTTAGGGTTTGCGATTTGGGGTTTTTGATTTTAGAGTTGTGGTTTTAGGGTTTGGGTATTGAAGTTTAAGGTTTTGGGGTTTTGGGGTTTTGGGTTTGAGGATTAAGATTTAGGGTTTTGGGGTTTAGAGTTTGAGGGTTAAGGTTTAGGGTTTTACGGTTTAGGATTGGGGTTTAGGGTTTAGTATGAGAATATCTTATGAAAGAGAGAGAGCTGATCTTATTTCTCTATTGTTTCTCTTTTTGTTTTAGAAACAAAAAAGTAGATTTTTTTACTTCTTATTTCTGTTCCAAATCTATTCCCTGACCATTTTTCTGTTCCGGAGAACAAAAAAACTAACTGATGTTACTAAATGGATTTTTGTTCTTTTTCTTCTCCGGGTAACAAAAAAACAGAACAACAGAAACGTTACTAAATAGACCCTTAAGCTGCGAACGATAGTCATTCTATTTCTCCGTTTTTCTATTTTTCTATTCGAAAAATAGGTTTGGAACAAAAATCTGTTTGGTAAGACAATTTCATTTTTCTATTTATGGAATAAATTTTGATTTCAAAAATAGGTTTGGAACAGAAATGAAAAGTAAAAATTTTCTACTTTTCTATTTTTGAAACAAAAATGAGAAATGAAAATTCTCATTGCTCGCCCTCGCTACTAGTCGGTCGCCCACCCGCCACCTATTACCGTCCACTTGCTGGCCGCTGCCTCCCGCCATTCGCCATCTCTTGCTGCCGGTCGCAGTGGGCCGCCGCCCGCCGTCCGTCAGCCACCATCTCCCATCGCCCCCCGTCATCCACCGGTCACCGTCTCCCACCGCCACCCTCCTTCCGCCGCCCGTCATCCACCGGCCACTGTCTCCCGCCGCCGGCTACCTTACTCCCGCTGCCGCTGGCCGCCTTACTCCCGCTGCCACCGATCGCTGCCCGACGCTTGCCGCCGACCGCCTTACTCCCGCTGCCACCGATCGTTGCCCGACGCTTGCCGCCGTCCTCCGCATTGGATGCGTTGCCGTCTGCCACCGTCTTACCCCGCCATCCGCTGCCCTCCATCCACTTCCACTGTCCGTCGCCGCCGTCCGCTCACCGTCCACTTGCCGGCCACCCGAGGGGGAGAAATTGTGTGCCGTTATCAAACAAATTTTTGTTTCAGGAACAAAAATTTTGTGTCGTTATCAAATACGTATTTTTGCTCAGAAATCCGTCAATGAAACAGAAACAAAAAATCTATTTCTTACTAGAAATTGATTTCTCAAACAAAATGATTGTCATTCGCTCCCTTATTAACTCTCATTTGATATTTCATACATGCCATCCAAAACTCTAAATTAATTAATACTTATTTTTTACGTCATAGATACTATTTTTTAGCACAAAAAATTCCAGATGTCACTCATATGGATGATGGGACAATAGTCCGACGGTAATGGACCGACAAATTTGCGACCAAGTCAAATCGACATAAAGCTGAATTATCAACTTTAATTTCAATCATAATGTACTAGATAATGGAAAAAAAAATCACTCTCCCGTTGCACTAAAGTTTCGTGACTTTCCAAAAAAGTATTGACGTGTCAGATAAAGTGACTAATTTTCGTAGTCAGTGTTCATTTTGTTGGAAACCTTGTACAAAGTAAAAGAGACTCATGATCCAAGTTAGGAAATCATTTATAATCATGAATAAATTCATAACTCAGGATATTACAAGATTATATGTATATCTGGTTATGGCACTCTCCCTTCCTTTTTTATTTTCTTTCTATCGTAGAAGTCACATTTTCATACTTACAAAATTTGTAAAAATATACAGGTAATCACGGCATGAAATGAATTTATGGATTAAAAAAATCATAAAATAAAACCAACATAATTAATTTTGATCATAGAAAAAAAACACACATATAAGAAACATCCAATTTCACGATTGTCCTCCAACTCCAACCTCATAATACTTTGTTAATACGATATCTATTGGACCAGCACACTTTTGATCACCTAACTAACTTTTATAAAAATGTGTAATGATATTCTTGAACTTTTTTTGTGCAGCCAAGTCCTCGATTTAATTATATTTCTCAATCCAATTTTCTAACTTTATTTGATTTGTACAATCATGTGCGTCACTCTTGCTGTTAAAAAATACATTCATCTTGCTGATTGGGCCAAAATTGCCACATGGAGCTACCGTGGTGTGTAAAAAAAGCTATATGTAGAAAACTAGAAAGAATCGTGCCCGGGGGCAGGGGATATGCAACGGCCCTCTGCCATCGCCGAGGGCCCTCGCGCCCTTGTCTTGCGGTGGCAACACTATTGGTGGATCTAGGTGAGGGCGTGCTGGCCTTCGGTTGAGCACTCAACCTAGGCCAGGGCTTCTTAACCCTCGATTGTGCACATAAGGACCGATGGGGCCTCGTTGGAGATGGTGTCGCCGGAGATTGTTAAAGGCCAATTACCCTTGACAAACCTCCGACAAAGGCTGCGCGACCTTTGCCAGTGGTGGATGGCGATAATACCCTTATCAATTCTTCTTCTGTGTTAAAATTTTTCAATGTGGTGGCCCTATCATTATTATTTAAGTGGCCATCTGCCAATTTTATACCAATGTCGCTGCATTACACAATTTAACAACATATGATGAAACGAGTCAATTGAACATATCACAAAATTAGAAGATTCGAGTGCACAGAAACTTCTAGGCTAGGGCCTATTGCCCTTAACACATCTTAACACTGATGTGTCAAAATTGACTACATATAATGGAAGGAATCGATTGGACACATTACAAAATTAGAAGATTTAATTATGAAAAAATAATTGAGACCCAATAGCACGTTTGACAAAGTTGCACTTAACCCCGGTTGAGTACTCATTTAAATTATCGTCATTTGATGATATAAATAAAATTATTCTAGGGTATTGTAATTCTTATACATTAGTACATCTCACAAGGTATATGGTTTGTTTAGACCATGTTTGCTTGGGGTAAAATGAAATATGTAACGACATATAATTGGTAATTGCACTTTCGAATCGACTTTTGTTGTTGCATCTAGAATCAAGCTATTTCATTATTAAATCGATAGAGGGAGGAGGTGATAATTTGAGATTGATAATACTATGGTGCTTCTGCATATGCTCAAGTGGAAATGAAACCATTCATTTAAAGTGAAAATCATTATTTTTTTCTAACTTGCCAGTAAATTTTTTAATTAATTTGAGCATTTCATAAGGCAAATGGCATCTTCTTCTCTCATTGCATGTAACGTCTAACGTATGGTGAAAGCTGTTTTGCAAACGGAGTAAAGATGGAGCTTTCACACCACTTTTTGGTCATTTTGTTTAGTTGGCTTGGCTTAGAGCTCTCCTCTGTTAACATTATTATCTCTTCCTACTTTCACTCTTTATTTGTAACTCCTCGATTAACAAATATTTACTTTACTTTTTGTGCGTAAAAATATATACAGGACTATAATAAGTAAGAAGTAAATGTGCTGGAGATATACAAAAGAATAATTAAACTATTTTTATAGAAAATATACAGTATAAGATTTTACCTATCTGACCAAAAAAGAAGATGTTACCTAATTTTCATATGCACATTACTTTCTCTAAAAACTATCTTGTAAATTTAAACTTATTATTTATTTGTGCTTTTATCTTTTGGAATATATATATATATATATATATAGGAAGAAGAGATAATAATGTTATATACATAATCTAAACCCTAAACCCTATATATATATATACACATATATATATATCCATAGGTTCCCAAAATTTTTTACTACATATCCTTGGCATTTCTCGTACTTGTTCATGTTAATCTTGACAATTCCCATTACAGCAACCTGTTTATCCCTTCATCCTATCGTAAAGAGCCTGAAATTTGACAAGATGGTTAAATCTGAAGGCTCTTCCTGATTAAGTCGAATGGTATCCTCGGTTGAAGAGTGACCGAACAGTTTACTGGAAGAATACTGAATAAACAATCCCAAAAAGCGGTAATGGACTCGGCATTTTCCATTAAAAAAAAAAAACAAAAATCATTGTCATTCCCAGTATATGTTACCGTGGACAAGGGACCGTGTTGTTTCTCCAGCTTTTCTTGGCAACAGATCAGATCATGCATCCCATCATTGTTATAGATTTAGACAGCAGATCAGCCATTGTAGGTTAACCTGGAGAAAAGTTTAAGAAAAGTTGATTTAAGGTTGATTCAGAAAACAGAACATATTTTCGCCTGGAGACAACCAATGAATAAATGAGCTTTACCCTAACTTAAGGGAAATGTCAGAGCAATCGTCCTCCTGAGGACCACTGCTGGAGTTGCAGACATTCGTGCCGGACTCTGACGAAAGGCCTTCTTCGTTAATGATCTCTGAATCAGTGGCAGCATTTTTCCGGCCCGAAATTTCGGTAACCTGACCCAGACATGCACAATGCCATTGGCAAGAAATTGCATGGACAATTTGAGTTCACCAACTACAGGGACAGTAAACTCTAGGACCATTGCATACCTGTTGCTTTAGTCTCTTGTTTTCTTCCATTAGTTTGGTTCCCTGAAACAATGTGAGGTACAGAAAGAATGATATAAATATGCATTCTACCGAGTGTTCTCGCAGCAAGGACTATTCCATTTGGTGTATATCACAAACAAATCACCACAGCAAACTCTGACCTTGAACAGTTAAAACAACAGAAGCGAATGACTCCCATCTGACCGTTTATTCAAGTATTTGTTTGGGTAAATTTTTGCAATGACAGTTGATCCTGATCGAGTATTTATCAATTCTTGTCTTTTGCCTGAAAAAGAACTGTATACTGCACACTTCATGATGTCCTAACAATTCATACACCCAATTAAGTGTTCTCATTTTGATAACCTGTTGAAAGATTACAATGAACAATGATAATTGATGCTTGCAACCACTACACGTACATTACAGAGAAGACTCTCCTCTTGTCCTAACTCCGCTAATGCAAACACTGAACCACCAACCGCTTAGCAGCAGAATGTAAATAAATGCATCTCCAACCCACCGATTCTTATAAAGAGCAAAAGTGAGTGATTGCATGAACATAATTCAGGAACCTCACCTTTTGTTGAAGGTCAGTGATCTCTTTCATGATCTTTTCGCCCTGAAATAAACCAAGAACACAAAGTTAGAGGGCCACATATTTCATGAAGCATATTAAATCAGAGAGAACATTAATGTATCTGCTAGAAGGTAGCATATTTCACGAAGCATATTGGGTTGTGAGCACAATGATATGTCTGCAACTAAGAATCTCATGACCTTCTTTTCTATTACACGATTCAACCCAGCTTCGAGCGATTTCTCTAGGTGCTGCAGTTCATCGATACTTAGTCCTTGGAGCTCTTCCCCTCTCATCTGCCTGCCAAACAGAAGGTTTCACATTGCACATCGACTCCAGTTAGAAGTGCATAACCTCTAGATTTGTACCTTAATTGGTGGCTTTTCTCTGCAACTTCCTTGCTTAACCCAGAGTAGTTGCTGTTTTCTACTAACTGCAAAGGAGAAGAACAGAATCAACACGAAAATCCAGAAGCAACACTATTAGAAAAATATGCTAATTCCTTTTACACTTTTTTCACCAAGAAGAAAGTAGACTGATCTCACTAAGATAGATGATTGATTAAACAATTCATAATACAGAGGTTCGGAAACAAATAACAAGGCCTTGAAAATTAGAAAGCTGGCAAGTGGTCATTGAACTAGTGGACTTGTAAGCTGCACGGTATCAGTATTCCCTCAAAAATTGAATCTTTAACACGGACAAGAATTCGTTTTTAATGAAACTGATTATATATTCGACCTCTGGAAGAGGGTGAATCAATTCTTATTTTTTGCTGAATTGCAGAACCTTGAGCAAATGAGCAATTTTTCTCATAATTCTTCAGTCGATTATAAGGAATTGAATGGACCAATGAATAATTTCAACAGAGAGAGAGAGAGAGAGAGAGAGAGAGAGAGAGAGAACCTGCAACTCAAGTGATGGTTGATCCAATTTCTCAAGATTCTTGGAGTGCAAATGATGTCGTTCGAGAATTTCCTTCATGCTTCATAATGCAAAAAGTTTAATGCGCCGAAGCATAACTGGATGAAAGATAAAAATAGCTAGTTTTCAAGTTACAGATTCTATTGGCAGTTGAGATACACAAAAGTTCAATGCAATATTCATGTCAGAACTCTATTCCACAGGACTATGTGGTCGGTCATCAATCTTCACAAGCATAGCCGAGTTGTACTCTGGCTCATTCTTCCATAACGGTTAGCTAATGTTACTGTTGGACAAAGATGCAGAAGCAAATACTAGTTATATCACTTCAATTTTCCACCATGAATGAAAATTATCCACAGAGTACTCTGTCGTTGATCGTCGAGGACATTCTAAAGGCGTTCATTCATCCAAACATGCCGAGGAGGAGTTCAGCAATCTTGACATGTCTCATTTAGCACAATGTGTGTGATTATTGTTAGGAAGACGCTTGGGACATTTGAGATTGCAAATGCTAATTTTCACTTGCACTTTTTTGATGACATTGACACGGAAGTAGCATGAAAATGTAAAGAGTGTATACATCATCAATAATCCAAACTCGTTACCCAAGACTGCTTACCGACTTCTTCATATGAATATTCATCCCTCCAAGTTCTTTCCTCTTTTAAGAAGTTTGGTAAAAGGGAATAGGGCCAGAATGGAATTGCTGTTCTGATCCCATTACTTTTCCTTATTTAACTGCACTTTACTAGATACCAAAAGCACATTCCAGATGCAACTCCCATTCCTCTAGCACAGGAATTGGTCGATTCCGCTCCAATTAACAAAAGCAATAATTATTGATTCCAAGTATATCTTCATTTTTATACCTCTCCCTATTTCTTTCCAAGGTAAATTTTGACATGTAATATTATTCTTTTTAAATTCCCTGGTACTTCTTGGTCACACGTTTCTCTTCCATTCTTTTTCTCCCTCAGTTCCATTTTCATCTTATACTTCATTTCATTGTACCAAGTGTACGGTTGAATTGTTTCCCAACAAAGCAAAGCTGTAATCCCTTGAAGGGCCCTTTTCCTTGATCAAAGCTCTTAAGGGGCGTTGCCGGAGGCATAAAAAGTTTCTCCTTTTGGTGTCTTCAATATAGTCATGACAAACGATCTAAAAGATGCTACATGTTTCTATTGTTGCAGCATGGAAGAGTAGATTTCAATATTTTCCATTCAAGCTGACTTCTCTGCTTATTTTCAATACAAAACTTGCAATGTGGATATGTCCTGAGTTTCATAATTGCAACTTGCAAGCTCAGAAAGGAAAGGAATTTGGACAAGAACAATTGTGACTGATGTTTAGATTTCTCCGTATCTTGGAAACCCTATCCAATGATACAACTTAATTTGACTTCCCACAATATACGAAGGCAAAAAATGTTCAACATTACTCATAACTAGAATGAAATAGAAGTTTCACCAACTAGTTTTCGGGACTACAAATAGCTGTAGGATCATTTATCTATGTATCATTGAAGACAGATGCTCCAAAAGACTAAATTCCAAACGAAGCGTCTTCACGGGGAAAATATTTCAACGAAAAGCACTCTAAAGGATAACTAAAGTTCCATTCCCATGACAAAGATCGGTAAGTACAAAGCATAAATCGATCTCCTCATCTCATGTTGTCCCTAAGCCTAAGTGGCTCATCCAAATCTCAAACTGATTTGCACTGCATTTATGACAGTGAAAAACCTCTCATGTTTCACAATTACCACATCATATCTATGAACCTTCCTAAGTGTCAATAAGCAAATGCAAACGCGAAATTAAATGAGATTGGAAACATCGAGCACATTTGCAAGTTCAAATACAGAACCAGTAATGAATTACCATGTCAAGTTCAATATATTTGTGAAAGATAAGTGTCACTCCAGACTAATTATACGAGATCGACCAATTTGCCTATCACAAGTCCAAGAACCGTGAGACCTAGATGAGATTTCACAAAAGAAATCAAATAAAGCAGATGTTTCCTGCTTTACAACTCATTCTATTTATCGTATCGTTGTGACACTTCCCGCAATATTCTTCTAATTCCCATCATGGTAAAAAATAGATCGTCTCAGGTAAATGAACCGCATGAAATGTCAACTGGAGGCACAGAGATCTGATGATTAGAGCACCAGAAATACCAAATAATGGATCCAATAGTTTTCCTGTACTTCAGTAAAGACTCAATGATTTTAGATTCTTATAAGCATTGCCTTTAATCTTCACAAGCAGGCAATTCGTCTTAATCAGAATTTGCAACCCAACTTTGTTTATCAAGTGCTATCTCAGCTTTCCTATCATACTTCCATCAAAGTCCAATTATATTGAGATAGATGCCTACACATGTAGACATTCAATAGTTCCCATTGAATTGATGCCCCCAGCACTTCCAACAGCAACTCTAAGCATGCATTACCTTCTAGATTTCTCAGAAAAGAGGCACCTGGTAGAGATAACATTTTGTACTATAGCGCATAGCTTTGATAAGCCAGAAAACAAGTAGAAGATCAAAATCTAAAAACCCATCTCCCATATAATTACTAGTGACAAAGTGCAAACTATGCAAACTTACTTCTATTCGTTTGGCTAATCTCCTGCATAAAAGGATTAATCAGTCGAGAGTGTTTGCATAAGATCTCCAGGTAACTTAGCATTCCTCATCCCAACCTCCCCCCTCCCCTCCCCAACAAAAAAGAAAAAGAAAATCAGATTGTGACATTTTATATTGCTCACTCGATATTCTAAGTGGGATAAGGGTTCATTCAGAATCAAACGCAATGGCATAAAGGTCCAAATAGTCATTGCTGGTACTTTCTTTTCATGAAGAGAAAAGGCCAAATCTTAATTTCTGCAAGTATCTCAAGGATGCCCACATATAACTATACCTATAAGCTTGATCACTAACTTTACCTCAAGGATACAACTCTTAATTTCTTCTTCAATCTAATGATCTACTTTATTTAGATATGTCCAACTGCGTAACTAAATTTTGCTATAGTACCTGGTTGTATGATATCAAACATTAAACTGTCGTTTATGTTAAGTAATAAGCTCACTTTAAAGGTTCTATAAGCCATTTAAGTATCTTCCAATGAGAAAACCCTACCCATCACCATATTCTTCATGCTCAAAAGAATTTCACATATTTTCCAGAAAAACCCAACGTGCCTCAATAGATAAGGATATAGGAGTCTCAGAAGTAACCTTCCTCATGCACTTAGGACTTTACTCTTCATCAAACCACATCTTATTCATCCAAATCTTCTCCCGCATCGTCCATTGTCTTGCCAAGTCCAACACTTCAGCAGTAATGGCATGAAGGAATAAATCCCATTACACTACTCTTCCATACACGCCCCTTCTCAACCAATCTCTCTTGTGATACTTTCGTATTCTCCAGACACACAAGACAACTAGCTAAATGACAAACCAAGAGAGACACGTACATACTCTCTAAATCCAAATAATTATTTCCTTCCTCAAACAAGTCCCTTTCTGAGCAACAATCTTTCATAGTTCCATGATAACCCCAGAAGGCCCGTGAAAGGGAAGGAGACCCCGTCATGAATTCAAAACATAAACTTCCCTATGAAATCCAACAAAAGAAACCACATTCACAATCAGCTTGAAAAAAGGTGCATGTGATAAACATCCATCACGGTATTATTTGAGTCTGATGAAATCCAGAGTTCAACCTATCAAATCCCACCACTACTGGCCTATTTTTGTGTACCTACTGCATCATATCATTCTAGACAATATCACCTCGATTTTGGTGACAATTTAGCATTCCGACGAAAAACAAACACCCAAGTTGCATATACGGCTAGTAAATACATGTATTTAATGCATATCACATTTTCTCCCACTCTCTAATCGGATAGGCAGTCTAGAAGAAAGAAAACCCAACAGTGAGACGGATGACTGATGCGATAAGACCTTGAACACACTTGGAAGACTATAAGCTCTCACATATTAACATTTAAAGTAAGATGAAATATTATAGAGGAAAAAGGAGGAGGGGAAAAAAATTACCTCGAACTGCAGTATTCGAAGAGTTTTCCAGAAGACGAGAAGATGATGAGAGCGACATCGGCATCGCAAAGCACGGACAGCTCCTCGGCCTTCTTGAAGAGCCCTCTTCGTCGCTTCGAGAAAGTGACTTGCCTCGCCGTCGCATTGGTGATCTTCTTGATCTGAATCTTCTCTCTCGCCATTTCTGTCTCTCCTTCTTTCTCCTCCTCCTCCTCCTCCTTCTTCCTCACCTTCCTAAAGAAACCCAAAAAAGAAAAATATAAAAAAAAGTAGAGCAAGTATATACTTTTCTTTTTACTCTGTCACTCTCCTTATGCAGAGAGAGAGAGAGAGAGCAATCGCCAGCAAACAATTTGTCAAAACAACACCACAAAAGGCAAAAAAGGAGGCTTTGCTAAAAATGGGTCATGCTTGCAGGAAGAGAGAGACAGAGAGGGAGAGAAGTATTGGGGCGAGGGGGGGCAAGAAAATGATCTTGTTTTTGCCAAATTTAGCCAAGAATAGAATCTAGGACGCAAACCCTAGTTAGAGGGAGACACAGACAGACAGACCCATCACGGAGGATACAGACAGAGAATGAGCAATGCGCCCCCACGAGCACAAACCCACTTGGCGTTGCTGCAGCTTATTAAACGTGCAAGAAAAGAGAGGAGGGATTGAGGTTGGCTGGGGGCTGAGTTATTGCAGGGGCACACTACCCAGTCTTGGGCATGTGGGTCTTGGTTGGTTTTGGTGCCGGTTTTGGCGGGTCGGTCTCCTTGAGAGCAGACACGTGAAGAAAAAGCCACCAATCCAACGAGAGAGAGAAAGTTTATTCGAGAAAAAAGCAAACTTTATTGCTTTTTCTCTGTCCTTTGGCGACTCTTTAGCTAGCTCTCTCTTTTCGCTCTCCAATGGCTTCACCTGTTTTCTTTTTGAGCTCCATCTTTCATGGGTTGCCGCAGATTGGGGGCCCTTGGCGTCGTGGTGGTGGAGTTGGCGCTTCCCGCAACTTGTTTCCCCATTTAATATGCCCGAGGGGAATGTGTACGTACTTTATCTTATTCCCTAGATAAGTGTATAAGATTATGGGTTTGTATATTGGGGCCCATTGTTTAGGTATGATGATAGCCAATGTATTTTGGGGCTCTAGTTCTAATATACATAGGGTGGTTACATTGGTTAAATCGAGCCGATCAACCCTAATTTGTTGCTCTCGAATGTGCTCTCGAAAGAAAAGAACAAGGGTTATCTGAAGATGCCCTCGGATTTTGTGAAAGCATATCGTCGCCCTGATGATGGACCCATGTTCTGTCGCCGACTGGCCTCTTGTGAGTTTAGGTTCGCCCACGGTCATAGTCGATCTTGCCCCCCTCGGCCGTCGACCAGTCCCTCTCCCTAGTCGTCGCCATTTAGCCCGCCCCTTTGCTGGCTTGCTCCAAGTCGCCATCGAATTGTTCTGTATACTCGATGGCCGGTCTCGACTCGTAACAAATCGATCTTCATCTAGGCCACTTGATCCTATAATATATCGTTAGTCTGTTATAGGCGATCGTCTATCTATCTTGAATTAGTGCCTATAGACATTTGCTTCGATATGGATTTGCTTCCAAGTGGTCCACGATCGGCATTTGCTGATCCTCAATCGCTGTCATTGGATACCACCGGTTGGTCCTGAGTCGATAGTTACTCTCTTAAGATACAAATTGTAGGCATGACACTTTAACAGGATTCACGTGTAAAACGAGACAAAAAAAAAAATTGGCATTTCGAACAAAGGCGCCAGATATAGGGGTATCTTTGAATTTCTTTCCATTCCTTTTTAATTTGGGAGATACCTATAGTAAGATAAATAGACCGAAGTGGATCGGATCCATTTCGTTTTCTGATGGTGTAAATGGGAAAAAAAGAAAAAAAAATATCTAGGAGAATTATGAACTTAGGCCCAAAGCATACGGACCCACTTTTTTATTTTATTTTATATATTGAGATTGGTACACGATAAAGTATATCTTAACGAGATCTTAAATGAATTTTGAGAAAAAATCTGAAATTCGTGGTCCAGGCCCATCCCCAATGCGCCCTACGCGTACCACTTATATTGAGTTGGGCATGTGCTGCCCCATTAATCGTTCAAATATTAAAATAATTCTTCTAGTTAAGAATATATAATTTGTACACCATTTTTTTTATTTGACAATTGACTAACTATAGTTAGGCAGTGGAGAGCGGTCGTTAATAGCGGTTTTCAAATTTTTTAGTTCTAAATGCCACAAATTTGCCCATGGATCCATCGAAGATTGTTTCGGTTGATTATCATAACTTGTATTTTTTGAGATGATTTAGGTGGAGCAACCCAAAGATGAATCTCTTCTTTAAAGGGTAGCATTGACTAATTATGTTTGATTCTAAATGATTTTCTAAGGTTTCTCTGTTCAAGTGCATTATCATCTTAGAATTAAAAAAAGCTAAGGGCTCCAACTTCCTCTATCTGCCATTTTGATGAATGGGTTACAAGTTGTATATAAATGCGAGTAATGTCATGGCCGTAATCCTCCAATTTGGGGATGGTTGGGGAAAGTTTCCTTCGACATGCCCGAAAAACTAAGATAAAGCGATGAAGTAAAGACTTCACTAGTTAAGCATCGATGACATGCATTAGTAATTTCATTCAGTTATGGTAAATTATAAACTTTTCTAATATAATTATGATCACTTAGAAAAATATCAAATCCGTATATCACACGAGTCTTTGACTACTAGTGCTATAAACTACTGTACAAACTCTTCATTAAAAATTAATAAAGAAGCTATCTAGCATAAATAAGAAGACAACACGGTCCCCGACTTCTTTTTCTAATCTATGTTGCCTATGACATTTGTCATTTACTCCGTACAATATAATACTTTTCGATGATTAGAAATGAAGAGCCTGTTCGATACAATTTTCCAATAATAATGACAATCGTGGAAAGGGCGCTTTTACTTTTTTAAGGTGTTTGGCAAATTACCCACAATGGTAATATTCTCACTAATTGCACGAGCTTACAATAGTTTTACGAATCTATCTACCGAATTTCGAGTTATTATATTTTGAAAACGTGCATTATCAATCTAACTAGCCAATTTTGCTAGTGAGTTTAGGAGCACTCTACATGGATATGGGAAAATTGTCCAAAAAATCCTAAACATATTATACTTTTGCCAATTTAGTCTAAACCTTTTAAGTTTGCCAATTAAGACCTAAACATTTTCACTTCTTGCCAATTGAGTCCATCCGGCCAATTTTGGCCTCTCGAAGCTGACGTGGACACTGGCCGTCTCGCTAACGATAAACGTGGCAATTTTTTTTAAAAATATTATAATATTTTTTTTAAAAAAATTTCCTTTTTTTCTGGTCTTCCTCTCTCTGGCTGGTCCGACGAGGTTTACCTCGCCGGCCTCTGGCGAAGCTCGACCCCGCCGGCCACTGGTGAAGGCGAGCCTCGCAGGCCACTGGTTGGCTTAGGTCCAAATCGACGAGGTCGGCCTTGCCGTCGCCTGGGTCTCCCTCGCCCAGCAATGGCGAGATCAGCCTCACCAGATATGGGCGAGGTCGAGCCTTGCCGGCCCTTAGCCTCTCCAGCGACGGTGAGGTCGGCCTTGCCTTGGCTGGGCGAGGCTCGACCTTGCCGTCGCTTGGCGAGGTTTAACCTCGCCCAGCCAAGGGCCAGCAAGGCTCGCCCTCGCCAGTGGTCGGCGGGGGCGAGTCGGCCTCTCGTCTCTGGTCGGTCCGGCGACCAGCAAAAGGGAAAAAGACCAGAAAAAAAAAGGAAAAAAATTTGAAAAAAATACATTAAAATATTTAAAAATTGTCACATCAGCGTTTGCCGAACGGTCAGTGCTGGCCGGCATCCACGTCAACTCCGGGAGGCCAAAATTAGCTGGATGAACTCAATTGGCAAAAGTGAAAAGGTTTAGGACTCAATTGGCAAACTTAAAAGTTTAAGACTGAATTGACAAAAGTGCAATAGATTTAAGATTTTTTTAGAAAATTTTCCTCATGGATATTGATAATCCGGGAAAGGGTTATTTTTCTATGCTATCTCTAGTTACACAAAATTTCTTACGGGTGGGCCCCGCACGACACATGTCGCGCTCTTGACGGACTATCTTAAGTCTAACGTGGCAAATTTGTTGTCCCTAATAATTTCTCTGTTGTAATCCAATCCTCTCTCTCTCTACTTTCTCCTCTATTCCTGGCCATATGCAACCATCGTTTTCGCAAGTGCCAGCGACTCCACTCCGCCTGTGGCGACGGGCATTGGATTGCCAGATTTCCCTGAGCTCCGATTACTCTTGCTTGTGACCATGGACCTTGGATTTTTAGATTTCCGCAAGGCCCAGATTCCCAAATCTGGTCGAAATACACTAACGATGGCCATGGACAAACCTCGCATCGCTCATTGGTGCCATCTAATCATAAAAGGAGTAGTTGGACAGACTTGGAGCAGCCCCAATTCCAGATCTATATAGAGACATATCGATGGCCTTGAAAGATCTCAACTTTGCTCTTTTATGTGACGGCCCTTTACTCCAATGTTGTATGCTTCAATGGCTATGCCATTGCTAGTCTCAAGTGAGATTGACTTGAATGTCTCCGCCTTTACTTGACACCCTAGTGAAGCAAATGGACGAGCTGCTAGTTATTGTGGGGTTTATGCATAAATGGAGGGGTGACCGCGAGCAATGACAATCTGGGTGGTTGGCTCGGCCATGGACGGGCAACAAATGCGAGCCCGCAACGACGGAGGAGGTGGCTTGGCTATGGACGTTTGGCTCGGATGTGGCTCCAGCGACTTTGTGAACAGATGGGGAGAAGAGAGAAAAAAAAAGCAAGAGTTTCAATTTTCTTTATTTTATGTCCACGTCATCGACACGTGGTAATTTGTGATTGGATTTCAACAAAAAATGCATGCCACGTCAGCCTATCACATGGTACATTGTAACCACTTAACACTCTCATTTCAACAAAAAAAAAAATACATGTCCTCTCAGCCTATCACGTGGTTCATTGTAACCACCGAATACTTTCGTTCTCGAGAGAGAGATGGGACGAAGGCATTAGCAAAGCAACAAGGATAGGATGACGACGAAGGCCATGGTGGATGCAGAGCAGCTAGGAATGGTGGTGGGCAAGTGGAGACTTGAATGGAGGAAGGGATGGAAGAGAAAGACAGCTGCCAAAACACTATGTTACAGTACAATGCAAACAAGCCTTTTTCCTCTTCTTTCCATCTTTCCTCCACAATCATTCCTCGCTCACCGACGCCAACCAACCCCCATCAAGCTATCGATGTCTCCAAGTGGAGACTTGGTTGGTGGGCTGGGACTCCGCACCAGCCACGATGGAGCTCTCGGAATGGCAATGGATTGTTGTCAATATCCCGAATCCTGAAAATCAAAGCGTGGGAGAGGATAAAGGCATGAATATGATTAAGAGAAAATAATGCAAGGTTGATTTAGGACTCGATTGAACTTTCGTGTCAAGTCTTAGGACACGATGGCACTTTTTCAAAGTTTTAAGACTTAATTGTACTCTCGTGACAAGTTTTAAGACTTGATTGCACTTTTTGAAAATTTGAGGACTCAGTTACACTTCTATGATAAATTTCTGGACTTTCAGTGTACTTTTGAAAGTTTTAAAACTCAATAACATGCATTTGCTAAAAATCGACTTGCAAAAGCAGGAATCCCAAGTGAAATTATGGAAGAATAAATCATGTTTTATCAAATCTTTTTTTCGATAACAAGTGTCAATTTACTTCACCAAAGTTTACCCGGTCATTTCACGACTATTCCACATGATTTTTAGAAAATTTCTAAATAATGCGGTATGAGATCACATTAAATTTTTAATATCTTTTATTTTTTAATAACATTTTAACATGGGAAGATATTTTTTTTCCCTTTCATTTCCATGAATGTACCTTAGGAACATGAATGAACAAAGACTCTTTGCATGAACAAATCATTTTTTAGTGGATGCTAATAAAATAGAT